GGTCGGGCCATCAGGCTAATTGTTATTGCCTCGCTCCCACCCAACCCTCCGCCGAGACTTGTCACATGGAGCACCCAAGGACGCCGGGGCTATCTTAGAGGGCATGCAAGGGCGCCACAGCTGAATAGCTATGTCTCCCGGACACCGGTGACGAATGCAGTAGGGATGCTCTAAGTCAACATCGTCAATCCCTTCTCCGTGGCAACTAGCTGGACATGATTTCTCAAACTTTTGTAGGGCCAAACTTCAAGAGTTTGCCGCAAAAAGGCATCAGTAGATCTGTGAAGAGCGGCTGATAATTAAGAGTTTGTAGTCAGCACGACCCATGCGACCTGCCCAGTGACCACACCAGTAAACTGAGCAGTCGCCTTTGTCCAAGCCTCTCTCGTTACCCGCACTTCATTGTTATCACCGTGTACAGTTTTATTTAAATGTACGCGGCTCACTGCTTCCAGGAGTCTGCACCCAAGGGCCTCCGTGCCATACTGTTTGTCACCGTTCTCCGAAACGAAAACTCACGCTACGTCTCAGACCTACGCCAAAACCAAGTCTCCGGCACAATGTTCGTGACTATCCGTCCGTGCACGAGGGCAATTAGTTGCGAGTGTAGGTGCTGGAGGGCTGGCTGGGTCCAGAGTCCACTCCCCAGTGACTGGTCACCTCTGGGATCACACCTGTGACGTAAGTGTCGGTATAAGAGCGGCGCCGTGGCGTCGTTCCTCGCAGTCGACACCGTCAGGGCAGCTGGTCTCCCTCGTCCCGTCTGCCGCTCACCGCACAAACTCGGCGCCCAAGCAGCAGGTCTGCACAGACGCACCAGAAACAACTCGTACATCACAATCATGTCTCCCAGCATCGCCAGTCTGCCCGTGGATCAGGTCGCCTGTAAGTACTGGGGAACTTTGTCTTGAGCGTACTCATGCAGATTAACCCTTTCGTGGTTTCGTGCTGTGTTTATTATTTAAAGCTGCTTTGGTTTGTAAATTTCGTTTGCTCCCTTTGGTTCCATTACATTACGTAATTTCAAGACGAACACCGTTTGGACACCGCAATGCCGAAATTCGGGTTATGGCCATGTTATGTCTGGCATCGTCATACAATCTAATCCTACGGCTATACACCCGTCTATTCATTGCAATCCCCGTAAATGAACCTACCTTGTTTGTTTTCAGCGCTGCGCCGTCAGTTTGACCTGCTGGACACTGACGAGGATGGCCACATCTCCCCGGTCCACCTGACCAACGTCCTGCGCAGCATCGACCTCCACATCACCGACACCGAGATGGACGAGGTCATGGCCAAGACGGACGTGGATGGTGACGGCATCATCACCTTTGAGGACTTTGTCGAGGCTTTCCGCACGTCCCGCAGGGAGGAGCTGGCCAAGGCTGACCACGAGAGGCAGGCCAACCTCAGGCAGACCTTCCAGGTAAGACGGCGGGTTTTGTCAAACGGAAGCGTAGAACCTAATTAACGTTTGCTTAACGTGTGTACTCTCAGCAGTTTCTAGTTTCACACTGTTATCATCACTGTCTGCTGGGTCTTTATGTGGTGTCGCGGCCTGTTCCCTATGCGTTATCAGCGACATTCACTATGATTCCAGATCTTCGACCGTCGGAACTTTGGCACCATCAGCCCCAAGGACATCTGGAACGTCATGAGGAGCCTCGGAAAGAACATCCCCCTCGAGGACAGTGAGTATTTAATTATAGGAGTTCGCCGTTCACTTTTTATCTGGACAATCTGAGCATCATGAGCATTGAGCAACCTTCCCTTTTAGCTAGTTTTTGTATCATTCGACTTTGGGTGTAACTTTTCAGCTTCGGCAAGTTGTACCGGAAGATCCAATCCAAAAATTGTGTTTATACAATATACATACCGTCAAGATTGGCGACAACTATGGTAAAACTAACTTCAAAACTTTTTATCTCTTTGCGACAACAGTTTCAGTCGTAATGCCGGCGTCGATAACATGTCACATCACAACAGCTATCTTGTGTATTTCAGTTGAGGACATTGTTGCTGAGATCGATCAGGATGGAGACAGTCGCATCTCCTACTCCGGTGAGTCAAAGGATAATAAGAGGACGCTGTTTCTGACTGTCATTTGTGTATCGACAAGGTTTTGGCATCAGCTTTTGAGTGGCGGGCGGCTGTAGTTCCAACTTTGTATTGATGTGGTACCTTCAATTCAAGCGAATGGTGTTTCCTATGTAAACAGTGAAAACATAACTTTTCGCTTAATTCAAATAATTCGAATAGCTCGTGCACATCTGAGTGTGACATAGTTCCAAGGCCTGGATTTGAAGCCTAACTGTGTCTCTGTTGTGTGTTTTCACAGAGTTTGTGCAGTGTGTGTTTGCGGACGACGAGTGAGGCCGGGCTGACTCTCGCACGTTATCGAGCTGTCGGCTGGCTGGTCCAGTCCGATCCGTCCCGGGTATGGCCGCAAACGGCGGACCGCCCCCACGACCGCCGACCCGCGCCGCTGTCTGAGAGAGTGAGAGTGAGAGAGAGCTCCGCTGTCCTGTCGGTACCGCGTGGCTCCGGCCGCCCGCTAGAGGGCGAGCCCGCCGGCCGGTGGTGCTCGCCTTGAGCGGCGCCGGACGCCCCTCCGCTGGGGACCGGGGGCGGTAGGCGCCGCCCTGGAGCCGGCCCGGAGACGGCGCACCCGCCACGGTCCCCGAGCCCTGCATCTGTCTATGTTTATGGCACGCTTGTGACCGCCGCACTTGTTACTTATACAATGCACGGTGACAGCAAAACACGTTCGTTTGATGGCGCAAAATGCGTAAGAAAGACGTAAATGCAGTGCTTTTGACGATAAGACTAATTGGATGGTAGGGATTCGCGTTATTTTTCTAGAGCGAGATACGAGAAACTTGTCCGCTAGCCGCTTAGAACCGAAAACATTGCAATAGGAATGACTGATCTAAGCAACCTTCGTAGTTGCTCGTCGGCACGGGAGAAGGCAACCGTCAATGTTGTGTAAAGGACGTTTTACTTGTGTGTCGCGTACATGCAGTTGATGGCTATTGCGGGACGTAAAACGATATAATCCATCGTCACATTACAAGTAAGCACGCTGTAGATTAAAACGCATTCGGCAATTTATAAACAACGGGCCTAAGCGTTTCAAGTAGCGGGTCCCGCTCGTGCTATTACAGTTAGCAGATCCGCTCCTAGCAAAACCAGACGTGGAACGCTAAATCTAATCATGATTCCCTTTAGCTTGCCGGCTCCCTCTGTCGCATCTTTTGCAAATACTTCAATAATAATGTTAATAAAAGAGGTCGCTGGTCATGGACCGCCGGCCAGGTTAGCATTTGGTCATTTCGCTGCTGACGCCATGCTGTGGACATTGCCTTGGGGGACTTTCTGATAATCACTGGGATGACTGTCCGAGGAAGATGACCAAATATGGTAAACGGATGACTGTGTTGTTAACAATTCCCGTCATGGCGATCTGATCTATTTGATAGGCGATATAATTAAAAATTACTGATATCACTGACTAGTGACTATACTGTGCAACATTGAAAGAATGATATATTTACTATGAATATCGGCACAGTTACCTATATACGTCCGCTTTATATTTATTTTTCAAAGAAACAACCGAACAAAACCCCGAACTCGTTTCTGAAGTCCTACCTAACTTACAAAGCTTCAGTGAAACAAACCAAACTGCACCCTTTAGACCCTTTTGAATATAGCGGTGAGCCATCAATTTTTATTGTCTAAAAAATTCAATAAAGAACCAGAGTCCTTCACGGGATAGGAGCTTCGCGTAACGCAATAGCTTACAACCCACTCCATAGATGTCGCTAGTGTATACGCCTGCAGGCATGCTGTGCCGCAACGCTCGCGGCTGGGCAGAGTGGGCGGCGCCCGGCGTTTCCGTGGTACAGCGCAGCGCTCCTCGCAGTTTGGGCAAACAAGACGACGAGTTTTCTTTACATTATGTCTCGCATCATCATCTTCATCGCTTTCACAGCTACGCGCAGATCGTCATACCCATCTGGCAGAAGTTGATTAACCCTGCCGAGGGGCGAGTGCCTCCCCCAATTTTTTTTTTCGTGATTGCTCGGAACACGCTGGCGATAGAGAGCTGATACCTGGTACACCTGACCTTTGATTCAAGCCAGATCTTGTGACTCAAACCGAATTTTCGGGTCAGGTTAGGTCACTGACCTATGCCTTTATAAGTGAACCTCTGCACGGTCCTAAAATGTCGCAACCTCCCAACGTCCTCAGTGCCAGAAGAGTGTTCGCAGGGAGATGAAACTTATGGTACTTAGTAGCCTCCCGAGGTCTTGTTTTTGCATTTCTAGGATATCCTAAGGGTCACGTGAGGTCAGATCAATCAGTCACGTGGCCTCACCAAGTCCATGGGGGGGGGGGGGACATGGAAACTGTTAGGACATCGGAAAACATGAGAAAACTACCTCAACCACATGAAATCGCGATTTCATGCACTCAATGCAACTTGCAAGGTTCCATCCTCCACTTTTGCATCGTTGACCTTGTGTGAAGCTCTAAGGTCACAAGTGTTTCGTCAATAATTCTCGGCCCAATTGAGATAGCCAATCGCAAAAGCCACCACTGGACTCAGGAAGACCTGCCCAATCGAATGCTATGCAATTACGACCTACTTCAATCAACTTCGTAACCTGAGGGGCTCTGAACTGACCTTGACTCCAGGTCAACACTCTAAATTAACCTTTTCCCAAAAACAAGTATCATTCGACACGCCTGAGCATGGCGAACGCGATGATGTCAAAATCACGGCACTGCAACCATTTTTACCGATGTCATTTACCAGAAACCTTCTCCTTCTCCTTTGTACTTCAGCAATATCAAGAAGCACCTATAACAAAGCGTGTGAACTGCATCTAACTTAATGAATATCTAGCTTGCGAGTTCAGTTGAATGGCACCAGCCTTCAGCTTCGCTCTTATTTCTGAACGCTTCAGATTCGACCCAGTTACCAAACTACATGTTTCTGTACACGTGCATTGTATTACATAACTTAAACAAGTGCAGCGATCACATACAAATAATGAACACAGAGAGATGCAGGGCTCGGGGACCGTGGCGGGTGCGCCGTCTCCGGGCCGGCTCCAGGGCGGCGCCCACCGCCCCCGGTCCCCGGCGGAGGGGCGTCCGGCGCCGCTCAAGACGAGCACCACCGGCCGGCGGGCTCGCCCTCTAGCGGGCGGCCGGAGCCACGCGGTACCGACAGGACAGCGGAGCTCTCTCTCTCTCACTCTCTCAGACAGCGGCGCGGGTCGGCGGTCGTGGGGGCGGTCCGCCGTTTGCGGCCATACCCGGGACGGATCGGACTGGACCAGCCAGCCGACAGCTCGATAACGTGCGAGAGTCAGCCCGGCCTCACTCGTCGTCCGCAAACACACACTGCACAAACTCTGTGAAAACACACAACAGAGACACAGTCAGGCTTCAGATATAACACTTGGAGTTATGATACACTCTGCTTGGCATGAGCTATTCGAATTAGTTACACTAAGTGAAAAGTTATGTTTTCGCTGTTAGCATAAGAACCACAATTCGCTTGAAGGTACCGCATGGATATGAAGAAGCGCTGCAGCCGTCCGTCACTCATAAGCTAATGCCAAAACCTTGTCGATACATAAATGACAGCCAGAACGAACGTTTTCTTGTTTTCCTTTGACTCACCGGAGTAGGAGATGCGACTGTCTCCGTCCTGGTCGATCTCAGCAACAATGTCCTCAACTGAAACACACACATTATTGGTGTGACAATGCATACAAGGAATGTTTTCAACGAAGCATTATGCGTACTTTAGCGGACCCTTATATGCTAAGCATATATGAATAAGAATTGTATAAGAAAATATTATTCTTAACAGTTATCTCAAAAGCGTCGTTATTGCGCGACCAGCAGCGTGCTGAAAAGCGGAGTCGTTTTACAGAAAATATAGGTACTCACTGTCCTCGAGGGGGATGTTCTTTCCAAGACTCCTGAGGACGTTCCAGATGTCCTTAGGGCTGATGGTACCGAAGTTTCGGCGGTCGAAGATCTGAAACATGATAAAGTCAGCATCGTTAAGAATTTACTTGATAATGGGAAGGAAATGAACCGTAATACCACTCAAAGACCCAGCAAAGGCAGTAAGGAAGTCTCGAACCAAAAATACCGTAAAATTCAGCAACATATTTAAATTATCAAACTCTAATTCATCCCTTCCCCCGATTCAGTTGGACGAAGCCCGCCGTCTTACCTGGAAGGTCTGCCTGAGGTTGGCCTGCCTCTCGTGGTCAGCCTTGGCCAGCTCCTCCCTGCGGGACGTGCGGAAAGCCTCGACGAAGTCCTCGAACGTGATGATGCCGTCACCATCCACGTCCGTCTTGGCCATGACCTCGTCCATCTCGGTATCGGTGATGTGGAGGTCGATGCTGCGCAGGACGTTGGTCAGGTGGACCGGCGAGATGTGGCCATCCTCGTCAGTGTCCAGCAGGTCAAACTGACGGCGCAATGCTGAAAACAAAAGTGGAAGGAAACTCAATGCTAGTAAAGCAAATGCGTGAAAAGATATTCACTCGAACTCTGGCTGACAATAGTTAAAAGTTGCACCGTACTCATGGGTGACGGACTAAGCATTTCGGTCTAATCATTGTCGGATAACCGGAACAACTTGATGTGATCTCTGCCGATCAGGAGCACTAAGATAAATGAATAGCCAAAAATCTCGAGTTCCAACCGACGATGACGACCTACTGGACGCATCTCAGACATCCCTTAGCGAGGGTCGTGACTGATTTCACCGTGATTTGACCAACCCACAACTCACAGTCAATCTGCTCTCGGGGCATTTGGGCGACCTGGGCTGTCATTATGGTAGCTTCTGGTGCGTCTGTGCAGACCTGCTGCTTGGGCGCCGAGTTTGTGCGGTGAGCGGCAGACGGGACGAGGGAGACCAGCTGCCCTGACGGTGTCGACTGCGAGGAACGACGCCACGGCGCCGCTCTTATACCGACACTTACGTCACAGGTGTGATCCCAGTGGTGACCAGTCATCGGCGTGTAAACTTTGCTCTCCGAGCACGCACCCCGCACGCCCAAACACACCTGGGACGGGGAAGTCTGCCGTCACGACGTCACCGCCGCCGCCGCCGAGCGGTCTTTTCGCCACGCCGCATGACCTTGCACTCGAGGTGCTGTTCAAAACAGTGGAGTACACCTGACCTCAGCGGCGCTCAGGGACTGTTGTGGTTCCCGCGGAGCATTATTGGGTACTGTTCAGTGGCTTGTCTAGAAGCTGTTTAGCGAGTGTTAAAGAAGGATGCTTTTGACTGTTTTAATATCCCAAAAAGTTTTTACTTAATGTTCTTTGATTACATTCTTCTTCTTCTTTTTTTTTTTTTTTTTGTTAAATTGTTGACTTTTGAAATACTGTTAATGGTTGAAGTTAATGGAAAATGGTTGACAAGTCCCCAAAGGATAGCCAGTGGATCAGTACCATCTGGTGATGGTATGATGCTTTCATATCCAGGTCATCTTTGATAGAAGGTTTTCAAATAGATATTTGACGCATACCTACCTATGTGTTATCGGTATCACCACTCACCAGTTCGCAAATGCACTGAGAAACTGCTAAGGTATCAATCCATCATAATTGTCTCTGTGGCGACCACATCCAAAGGTTTCCTATCCCAATTCGTCAGGAAAAGGCTTGCAAATATGTTCTCTAAGTTAAAAAGACAAATACGATGCTAAGGTAATCGTCCATTCGGAAAACATATCTAATTACAAAAAAGCAACGTCTTTTATAGCTGTCGATGTCAAACGGCGTTCTAAAATATCAAGTTTCCTATCGAATCTGCACACGCAGCCGGCAGCCCACAGCGAACATACATAGATCACCCAAATAACATTCGGATCACCGATCTATTATCACTTTGATCTGACCGGCAAATCAGCAAGCAGCGTTGCAGTAAGGTTGGCAGCCGGCCGAGCGGGCTGAAGCTGCAGCTCAGCCAGAGCGGGCAGCTGCGGCAGCTGGCGCTCTGCGCATGCGCCGTGGACTTTGCACTGAAGTCATCCGATGTCTGCCGACCGGGTTTTGGTACGACCGGTGCCAAGAGCGGCCAATTTGCGGCGCAATTCGCCGCTCGCGCGCCAGCCGCGCGATGACGGCGTGGAACGAGCCGGCGAAATACAGACGAGCGCCGCCGAACGCCGGGCCAATCAGCTAAACACGGCGCTCCCGAGTGGTTTACTTAGGATCACCTGAGGTGACAAGGAGTGTAAGCAATAGTTTGCGGAGGACAAACAGTTTCTTGTATGATGGAACTACGAGATTTCTAAAGCGCAAGTTGATATTTTTTAGAACGGAGAGAGTTATTCCCGCATAGTTTTACGCTTCTGACTTGATGACAACACGTGAAGCAAGGAAGTTGATCTTAGTCCAGAAATACACTGTATGAATGTCGTCATTTGTGTATCGACACACGAGAGAGCCGGGCATTTGAAAAGAGAACAAGGAAAAGGACAAAAGAGACAATTGAGAGCAAACGACAGCATTTCAGAGAACATATGCACGTCACAAAACGGTGACCACGCACATAACTAAGAGGTTTCAACGTGAGGCTGTCAGCTGTCAGGCGGGTACAACTGAAGCAATTTTCGTATAAAATGCCTAAATTTAAACACCAGTTTTATAACTCGACCTGTGCTCTGAGTCTGGTCAAACAAACACAAACATCAAAACACGCGAATCATGGTGCTCAAATTAGCCCGTCATATGCTATCTCAACACTAGCTGAGGGCGTGAAGATACACACAGACCAGTCATCGTCAAGCACTGGCGACGAGAGGGAGGCACAATGGCCTCTCTAACGCCTGAATACGTGTCGATTGCCTCTCCAGCGGGCAGTAAAAAAACGGCGAAAGCCTGGCACAAACTAACACACGGCACCAACGTCCGGTGCAGCGTCCGGATGCAAAGAGTTTGACTCTTAGGCCGCAGTGATACACGTGACGGAGGCACTGCTCTCCAGAAATGGAAAGGCACTGCTCTCCAGAAATGGACGACGAATGGAGCGTTTTGGAGACCAGATGGAAAAGCCCAGTTTTGTATCTGCTCATGATGACTGGTTCACAATTTCACTATAAAACACAAGTCAGCATGATAATATTGCATCTTAATGATAATATTGTATGATAATATGTCATTTTTTTCTAAAGAGAGGCAGCACAGTCTATCAGAATCAATAACATAATTTTTTTTTACATCTCTCGGGGTTATTTTCTCGAGGCCTTATAGCCCTTCGATATTGTGCAACATGGATTTCAAGGGCCTGCTTACATGTGCTGGACCAGCCAATGACTCATGATTTTACGTAGAGCCAACCATTGTTCAACTAACGGATTCAATCAAACGATCGCAATTTTATTAGGGAGTTAGCGCCACCACCTTGCAGCTCAACTGTCGTAAGCCTCTTGGCCATTTGTATGCTCGAAGAAAGCACTCACCAGGGAGTTCTAAAAGCTTGTACAGCTGCAGAGCTGCACAATGCACATACAAACAGACAAACAACACACACCTATAGAGGCTGTAAACATGTTACTTGTTAGTCATTGTTTGTCTATTTGTAAGGTGTTCCCCTGTTACAGGCCAGGTACAGCTTATGTAGGTTTAGCCATTCCTTAAAACACGTCATCGTGTGACATTTGATACAGCGTGGAGAAAAGAAGGAGCGGTCCGATACCTCCGGAAGTTGGCTACTGTAAAAGACCATGTAGGAAGTATGTATGTACCGAATAATGACTTCGAACGAACGACCATGAGTACTGAGTATATATCTATACAGCATCATGTAACAAAACCAGAAGGCAGAGTTGTTTTACAGTGAGGATGATGTGTACTCAGCTCATATTATAACCACATACCCACATGAGCTGATTTCGCTGACTCACGAATCAGAGCTTCAATTTCTAACAGTATCCCTCAAATCAATTTTCGCAAAGTTCCAAGTCAAATTCATTTTCTGTTGGCTAGCTTCCAATAAGCGATCTTCATAGTTGACTCATTGTATTTTATTTCCGCCCCACCGTCCACCCACTCATCCCATGATATCAGACGGTGACTCCAGCTGACGTCACACCAGTCTCATATGACGTCATCCGTCTGTCTGCCGATCTGAGGCTGCGGCCAACTCGGGAGCGGTCCGACTTGGCTCGGCAGTGGCCGCATTGCTTCGCGTCACATCCAGACAGAAGGTCAAGTTTCAGTTTAACCCTCTCTGGCCGAGCGAAGGGCTAATGTCGGGGAATGTGTCATCCTGTCCTTCTTCATGGCTCATAACGAGCACGTATTCCTGGTTTGTAAACTATTTTTAAATTGCTTCTGACCTTATGAATCAGACCAAATCTAGTCGGGCATAAACTAAATTTTTCGAATTGAATAATTTTGAGTCGTAAGTCCCGACATCATCGGTGGCAATCGAATCCACTCATTTTTATCAATGACCACAATTCGGCTGCTCTGAATTTCAATAGCCGTGCTACAAAGCCCACAAACGCATCACGTGTAACCCTACTCCTCTAACAGTAACTGCAGGTGAGGTTACCCTCAATCTGTCATCAGATAGCAATCCTAGCACGGGGCACGGGGCGAAAAGTGATTATATCAGTGACTCAGCGGCTGACTGGTGTCTCAGTGACTGATACAACTCAGCTGGCATGCCTCGCCGCCAGACCGTTAGTTGTGCGACGCTGACGGCACACACGAATTAGCGTCACAACTCACAGCGTCAGCAACTCAGCATACATCACCGTCAGCTGGGAACGGAACTGATGTCACCATCAGCGAAACGACCCCATTCAGCACTCGTCAGTGGCGGCACGGAGATACAGTGATGGTCCGTTAATAACTGCATACAGCAGCCCAGTGGCCTTATGAATCAGCCCCAACCTCAAAGGTCACTTCTCCGACATCTTATGACTTAGGCTATAGTGATCACTAGAAATTTCATTGGTCTTATGGTTTTGTTACAAGAAATCTCATCCTTTCTTTGTCTTATGGTCGGTGAAGATTTCATGATTTCATAGCCAGATCATTGGAAATCCATAAGTTCCAACGACATAACAGTGAAAGCTACTGGTATGTCGGCAGTCTTTCTGTAGCAAGACTCGCTTCATTGCCAGCGGTCATCGGTATTTCGGACGACACAAAACACCACAGAACCGCATAACCAAGAGCAACAAACGAGCCTGCTGGAAACAATTCCACTGTCATGTCAACCAGACAAGCACTAACAAACGTCTTTACGACAGACACAACACTACTTTGCCGTCAGCTAGAAAAGCGAGTGCCGAGCAGCGAGCCTTAATTCAGAGCCGCTGACCATCGAGCTGGCGCAGTCTCTCAGGAGCCCGGACGTGGGATGTGCTTCATAACAAGGTAAACAGCTCGGTCAGGGGTGACGCTAGGGGTCATGGGTGTCGTATGTCAGTGACGCGGGCTGGCAGGCTGGCACAGAGTTGGCAGGCGCCGCTCTGGCTGGGACGTTTCGGGGCTGGCGAACGGTGGCAGGGTCAGGGCTAGAAGCGTCTCACTTTGTGAGGATCACAGCTCAACTGTGAAATACTTAATTAATTTTCCAGGTGTTCTATTCAGGGTGCAAGTTAACCCTTTCAATGTATTTTAGTTAGAAATTTGAAAAAAGTCAAGAAGCCCAAAAAAGCCCAAATGAGAAATAAGTGGCCCAAATCGGTTTCCCATGGACGCAGTCAGTAGTTTTTGACAGCCCGAGTAATACTAAATGTAGAGAAATCTCTGCAACAACAAGCAGGCTCGACAAAATTAATTACAACGCAGTAACTCAGTGGCTTTAGGACGGCAGCGCTCGGATTTCAGGCCGGCCGCTAAGACTAAATGTCAAACCACGCTCCACCAACTCTCTCAGCGCCGACACTCGATCCCTGCCGTGTAAAATTATTGGTGCGAAATGTCAGAGACA